GTCAGGAAGCTGGCCAACTCCTTGGGAAGGTGAGAGAGGAAATTAGGAGCCTGGGGGCTGGGAGGAATCATGCTATCGTTATGCTCTTACCTTAGGGCTGATGGAAATAACACTGCTCTGGCACCTGGAGAGCTGGCTGGAGCCCAGGCTCTGCTGCACATCAGCAGCGTGGTCCTGGGTGAGTCCTGTAATGTCTTTGAACTGCTCTTCTCACCCGTGTAAGAAGGATAAATATTCTAGCTTGCCTACCTACTGCATGGCACAGTTATAAGGATCAACCTGAGTGACACATGGGAGAAAGCAGCTGGAGAAACAGTCAGAGCATAATCCAGTGGTTCTCACACATCAGTGTACATTAGAACCACCTGAAGGGCTTGTTAAAACAAGAGTCCTGGGGCCACTCTCAGAGTTTCTAACTCAGTAGACCTGTGGTGGGGCCTGGGACTTGGCATTTCTAACAGGTTCCTTACTCATCCTCCAAGATCCTTTTCAAGTTTTTTTTTCCATGAAGCCTTTCTTTGGTAACGCAGGTCCGGCTGGTCTCGCCTCTGAACTTCGAAACTGGGCTGTCCCATGGTTTGTACTCCTGTGTAATGGCACCCATGATGAGCACAGTGGTGGCTGCCTGGAGTGCTCTCTTGGGCAGGATGCTGGAGCCACATCCTGGCTCAGGGCAGAGTGCTGGCACTTATTCACATAGGTGTGGACAGGGAGGTGGTGGTGTGCATAATAGATATTTGTCATCCCTGACTTAGAGACTCTACTGTATTTTTTGTGTGCTAGGCTTGCCTTTACAATTAAATTATACACTTCTTGATGACAGATGCAATGTCTTTTACTGCTGTCTCTTCTCTGGTACTTGGCTTAGAACAAATCACCCTGAGCTCTGAGTTCCCTGAGCACAGGGCCGTCTGTGTCCTGTTCATTTTGACTTCTGAAGACTAGCACAGTGCTGCCAGGCCATGGCAGTGGCTGCAAATATTCTTTGCTCGGTCAAATAATACTTTTCGAATACTGGAAGAATACTTCTCAAGTTTTTGTTCTGGTCACAAATCTAACAACTACAGACATGGAGCACTTTCAACTTAATCTACATTATTGACACGCTCTGCACTATTTCCTTAAGCCCAGGCAATCAAGAAACCAGTAAGTCAAGCCTCGATTTGCAGTGTTTGTCAATTTTTGTGGTGAAGGTACTTCTGCCCTGTTAATTTCAAGCTCCCAGGGTGATACCACTGAATACAGAGCTGGGAAGAGGTGCACAGCAGCATCCTTCTCTACAGTTTTTCCACCATGCACATACAGTAGATGGAAATAAACTCAAAGCACAAGTGACTGTAAACTTACTAAGAAGTGATGGGTTTTGAGTATTTATTACCTTTTACAAATATTATTGACTTGTTCATAGGTTTGCGTGATTTAATTATTAATAATGGCCATGTTTAACACCTGGTTTGTACAATTCCCGAAACTTTAACAACCAGTTCTCATGAAGTTCTCTTTGGCACACCACTAGATGAATTGGTATAGATCTGCGGAAGTTAGAATTTTTTTGGTTGCAAGTCATAAAATCTTAACCTAAATTGCCAAGAGGGATTATTTTGCCTCACAAAATTTAAAGCATATAGAAGGGTAAGGTCGGTCTGGCATCAGACCAGGTGTCATTAGGACCTATTCCCTCTTTCTGTCCTCTATGTGGTGTCAAGATGCTTGCCTACAGCTCAGGCCTTATTGTCTGAGGTTTCAGTCATCCAGAGGAGCAAGGGCTTGGCCTCAGTGGCTCTGATTATGTTCTGTGTTTGACTCTGAACCAGGCACCGGAGTGGGGGAAGTGTGAGGCTCTCTGCCACAGTCCGATTTATCTCCCTTCACCATCAGTTTATATGTTGAAACTTTAACCTCTAGTATGATGGTATTTGGAGATAGGGGCCTTTGGGAGGTAGTTAAATTTAGATGTGGCCACGAGGATAGGGTCCTCATGATGAGATTAGTGCCGTTATAAGAAGAGACCAGAGAGCTTCCTCTTTCTGCCATCTAAAGATGTAATGAGAAGGCAGCTATCTGCAAGCCAAGAGGAGAGGCCTCATGGGGAACCAAACTGATTGGCATCTTGATCTTGGGCTTCCCAGACTCCAGACTGTAAGAAATAAGTTCTCATTGCTTAAGCCACTCAATCTATGGTATTTTGTTATGGAACCCCAGACTGACTAAGACTTTCCTTCTCCAGGCTCGCCCTGACTGTTTCACCCAAGCATGTGGACTGAGAGTGGAGAGGGGTTTCCTCAGAGGAAATTCCAGGTATCATTACTGGAAGGGTGGTTGGAAGCAGACAGCAAAGCAAACATCCATTGTAAGCTCTCTCTCTCTCTGGACAGAAGGAATAGTTTCTTGGCTCAGAGGGTGCAGGTATCAGGGTAGCCTTTCTGGAAAAATGATTGGATCACTCCTTTTGGGTACAAGTGGGAAAAATGGGAAAGGAAAGAATGGAAATCTGAGGGGGAGCCACAGTCCAAGCAGCTCCATGATTTGTGGAGTTTAGGGCAGGCCACCGGAGAATGTGCCACTTTGGCATGTGGATTATTTCAAACTGGACAATCAAGGCCTGAAAGACTCAGGAAGAGCTGTTTACCTCTCCCTTAACTGCCTAAAAGAATTTAGTTGGGGGGTCTGGTCCCAGAGAGGGTTATCGCCGGAGATAACCACAAAGAGTCCGGGCAATGTGTGGTACGCTAGGAGGAGTTTGGAGAGGCCTGTTTGTTAGGATTCCTCTCTCTGTTCCATTGTCTGTGCATGGCAAAATAAACTTTTTTTTTTTTATTTTTTTAACCAAACATTTGCTCTTCCCATCTTCCTGTGGATTGTCTTCCTTCCCTTTGAAGCCCAAGATCCCTTACTCCTTCTTAGCTCAGGATGACATACAAACCTCAATTTTTTGACTGTCTTTTAGCCTCATAGCTTCAGGGTTTCCTGTATGTAGAAAATTAAATTTATTCATTTTTCTCTTGTTAATCTGTCTTATCTCAATTTAATTATTAGACCAGCCAAAGAACCTAGAAGGGAAAAAAAGGGAAAGTGTTCCTCTCCCACACCTCCCACCAGGGGAGCATGGCAAGATGTTTGTGGCACTAAGGACTACTGAGAATTTTGTTCCATGAGTCTCAGGGTTCAAACTTTAGCTACTTGGGTGAGAAGACTGTGCCCAGGAATGGAAGCTCTAAAAAGAAGTATCTTCACTGGGGAAGTATCTTGCTGATACTAGGAGCATCTTGCTGGGGGTTTGGTGTGAATTCTGAACTGACCAGCCATCACAACACACCTAAAGACCTATCACTATTAGACCAAAAGAAGGCCCTTAAATTTGGTGTGTGAAGTTATGTAGGTGCCCAGAAAAATGAGAGCAATGTGAAGGTCACAGCTGATATCTCCACTAGGAAATTTTGGAAGAAAAAGAGCTGGGGTTAGCAGTGGGCAGGTATGGACGCAGTCTTTTATATGAACTTCTAAGGAGGCGAAATAAGAGAGAAACTGAATGGAACCAGATGTTGATGTACCTGTTCCAACCTAACAACTTGGTTCTTCAGGGTCAGTCAGGGCCATGGGTACAGGAGAGAATGCCAGGCTTTCCGGCCAGCAGCAATTCCAAAATTCTCTCTATCCCTGGAGGTCAACAAGACAGTGACCTGGATTAGCCCTGTACTTTGGAGTTTTTTTGCAGTACAGTGGGGCCAGGAGAAACCTGCCATATGCATATAGGATATTACAATACAGCGAGAATCTCCTATATATGCTGAGCACTGTGCCAGATGTTATAACACACATACCAGCTTGTTTGATTCCCTCAACTACTCTGTATTACAATCAGTTATCCCCATTTGCAGAAGAGGAAACAGGCTCAGAGGCCACAGTTACATAGCTAGTAAGTGGCATTTCTAAGCTCTAAACCAGATCTTTCTGACTTCAATGGCAATGTTGATTTCCTCCATTTGATGATGAGCTATAGATGTAGCAGCCTTTGGTTGAGCACTAATCATAAATGCAATCATCACTTTAGCTATTCTTGAGGGCAGGGTTGTGTCTCGTTCACAATCATACCCCCAGTGGCTAGTGGTGAAAGTTAAGAAAATACAGGATTACATATACTTTTCTTAATGACCCTTGGCAGAGGCATTTAAAAAAATTCCACTTCAGAAAAGACGAAACTGAACCTCAGAGAATTTAGATACTTTTCCTAAGTTCCCAGAGACTGTTACTCAAACTCAGGTCTGTGTGAATTCAAAACTGATGATCTTTACATTCCTTGGTATGTCTCCCCCATTGACCTGCCCTGTGCTACTCGGCTTCTCTCCCCACTGGGTAGCTGCAAGCCAATTGTGGATGGAGAGAGGGTGGCAGTGGTGGTGGGATGTGCATCAGTTTGGCCTTGAGAGAAGCCAAGAGGTAGACCAGTAAGCTGGATTCAGGCTCAGGCCCTACTCCTCTTTCAGTTGGAGTTTCTGCTTAATTTATTCTGATTTCTTTCTTAAGATTTCATTTTTTTCCCCCCCAAATAAGAGATTTTTTTTCTAACCTCAGGAATAGCAAATATTTCATGTACAGAAAATATTATTCAGAGGCATCTTTGGTTTTTATTTTTATTTTTTTATTTATTTTTGAAGACTTTATTTATTTATTTGACACAGATAGAGAGAGTACAAGCAAGGGCAGCAGCAGAGACAGAGGGAGAAGCAGGCTCCCCACTGAGTAGGGAGCCGGAGGCGGAGCTCGATCCCAGGACCCTGGGGTCATGACCTGAGCCAAAGGCAGTTGCTTAACTGACCGAGCCACCCAGGCATCCCCATCTTTGGTTTTTAAAAGTTAACATTTAATTCATTAAATTTATGAATTCAGAAGCCTAGTTTTTCCTTAAAGTTCACTTTACAAATCTTATTATTCTATTTACAAGTTTAGTAAATATCAATTGCTTTTTTTTTTCCCTTGGTTAAGAGAACATTTATTTACCATCACAGGCAGACCCACTTGCTATGATATGACTGCTTCCCACTTTTGTTACAGATCACATAGGTCATCATCTCTTCATCTGGATTTGAATTCCACACCCAACTTGGCAGGAAAAGTGTTCCTCTGGCGATTATGGTGACCTTGCAATTGAACTTCTCACAGCGTCTGCATTTTATTTTCTTTGTCTGCGTGCCCTCAGTGGCATGGGGAAGGTGATGCTCCTGTATGCAAGATTCCGTGTAGGAGGCTCTCAACTGCTTCAGTTCCTTGCTTGTCATCTCCATCTCCATCACCGTCATTTCGGTGAATTCTCTCAGAGACGTGGTCCTAGAGAGCAAGTTCTGTTGTAAATGAGAATTTTTGGGGTTCTTCAGACTGTCAACTTTGCTTCTAACACAAGTTTTGTACTTTTTGAGGTTCTTCGAATGAAGGGTAAAAATGTGCCCTTCAATTTCTCTTGCAAAGTTTTGCCACAAATCAGCTTTGGGCTGATCTGTGCAAGAACTCATTAAAGCTTCATAAAGAAGTTCTGTGCATTTAGCTCTCACAGGTACTGTGGGATCCAGTGACTCACTGGATCTCTGGTCAGTGGATTTTTGGTCACCACCCCTGAAATGCTCCTCCCTGGGCTCCATTTGACTCGTGCCATTTTCAGGCACAAGTGTTTCAATGGCTCTTGCAACATTGTGGGGTGATGAATTAGAACTGGAGCCACCTGATATCTCATCCTGACTTGGGTCATGAAAAAGTCCAGAGTTTTCTTCGTTTCTGCCCGTAGGGAATGATTTAGGGCTGTCCCTTGGTTTGAAGTGGAGATCCTTATAAAGAGCTGTCCATTCTGACAGGAAACGCTTGGCTTTCTTTTTCAAAGCCACCGTAGGGCAGTTTTTGAGGACTCTGTACACCATCCTGACCATGACGGTCTCCTGGAGATGCTCTTTAGTCACATGAAGAGTCTCCAGCTTAGTAAGGTGGTTGCCAAGATCCTCAAAATTCCTTTTAGACATCAGTTGCTCAATAAGGGAGGCTTTGGCAGCTACCTGCTTCTGGTCAGACATCTTTACAGCTCTTAACAGCAGAAGGCAATGTACATTTATTGAAGTCCATGTGCCATACACATTCATGTCATCTCCATCCTCACAATGAGCCGGAGTCAGGTATATGGCTTATCCTCATCTTACAGATGAGGAAACCGAGAAGCACAGGAGCCCGGGAATCTTGGGAGAACTCCATGTCGAGAAACGTCAATTACTTTTAAGGAAGGCTTTGATTAATAATTAGGCCCATTTATAGACTTATATACCTCTAAGCTTTTAAACCCCATTTATGAATTGAAAATTTTAATCTCATTTGAAGTCCTTCAATATCTTGACAAAATAATCTTTCTCGACTTCTAAGTAACTCTTATAAATTTAATAAAATAAACTTACATAGATGGTGATTCTTAAGTATTCTTAACGGTTCCAATACTGTACATAACCTTAGAAAGATTACACTTAAATATACCAGTCAAGATTACTCATACATTTCAAATTGGGTTTTTTAGTGCAGGTAAACTTTATAATAGGCCGAACAACTTCTTTTGAGTATTACAAATACTTATACTACCAAATAGGCACAGATTTATCCTTAATACATAAATATTAATGTTCTAAGTGTGAGTCTCTTAAACATTTTATTCTTAATTCTAAATTTTCCCAGAGCTGAAAGATGCTTATCCACTGAGGAAATAATGCCATCCCAAGCAATTTGGGGAGAATTCAGAGATTTTAGGTAGAATTGGACCTGGATTTCTGCCTGCCCTATTTGTAGCCCAAATCTGGACTTCCTCCTGTTACAGGTGGTCGGGCTGGCATACAGGGCTGCACAAACTGGTATGGCCACACAGCTACTTACCAGGGTATCACTCCCGCTTACTCTCATTTTATTCCACTAAGCCCTGTCCCACCCAGACTACTCATGGAAGCCTGCAACTGACTCAGGCTGTCACATGACTCGATTTTGCTTTTCTTTGTCTAGGATATATTAATTTCTTTTCCATCTAGCTCCAGTGACTTTTGACACTGATGGAATTCTATCTTCTTTCCATATTCTTCCTGACCAGTAGGGCCACACAATTCTAACAGTTATTAAAATGATATCCAATTACATCCTGCAAATCTCACAGCTTCTAAGGTAGAATGCCTGACAATTTTACAAAGGCTTCTATTGTTTAAAGGTTGTTTTAGAACATAACACTGGTGGAATCCTCAAGGTTTAGAAGAAAGAACAAATATTTTGGGAGCACCTGCTATGAACCAAGTACTCTATGTACATTATTTTATTTGTCCTCCAACACCCCTTCAAAGTGTTTATTTTTATCCCCATATTCAAATGAGGAAGCTGAGGTCATGGTGTTTCTCAAGGCCAAATGACTAATAAATGGTAGAGCTAGGACTAGATTTTAAGACTGCAAAGTTCAGGATCCTTTCACTATGCTACCTTCCAGGTTTTGAAGGTTTTATTACATGGCTCTCCAAACAATGGAGTAGTCTCCTCACTTCTGCACCTTGACGACAAAAACCTTCTAGTGTAAACCTGATCTTTCCAGACAACCTCAAGACTCAAAAGCAGTATCTGTCGCCCTTCTCCACATACTCCTTAAATCACCAAGATTAAGATTAAGATTTAAGATTTCCAAGCATTTTCATGACAGCAGCAAATTAAGGGCAAGCTGTAAGACACATTACAGTCACAGCCTTGGGCCAATGTTCCAGGGTCCTGAGGGGTTTGCATAGTTCAAACCCTGACCTCAACTGATGGTGATGGGGTTCAGGGTTGGTGGCCCCAGAATGTTTCACTTTGGCATGTGGATTATTTTGAACTGAAGACAGTCAAGGCCCAGCAGACTCAAGAGCTTTTACCGCTCCCTTAACTGTTTAAAAGAATTTAAATAGGAAGTCTGCGATGGGAAGAGAGCTATTACCAAAGATAACTTTTTTTTTTTTTACATGAGAACGACTTCTCCATATGGTATGGCAAACATTTGTTTACCAAACATTTGCTCTTCCCATTTTCCTGTGAATTGTCTTCCTCCCCTTTGCAGTCCCAGACCCTTATTTCCCTTCTCCTACTTGGGATGGCATATAAGCCTCAGTTACCTGTCAAGGGAGAGCCTCTCATCTCTGTGGAGCTCCCATAGGTACATAATTAAAGTTGTTTTTCTCCTGTTAATGTTTTATGTCAAGTTAATTATTAGATCAGCCAAAAAATTTGGAAAGGAGGAAAGAAAAGTATTTCTTCCCTGCAGTTTTGGTGCCCAACGTAGGGCTGTCCAGGGTCTGGCCAGTGCTTACTTCAGGGCTGCTGCTGCAGGGGAGAGATCCTGGGACCTCTGACGGAAGCTGGCAGAAGGTAAGAGTTCTTACTGTGTCAGTCTCCTGGATCTCTGTCTGCCCGGTCTGTTGGAAGTGAAAAAGGTGAGAATACTTTTCTTTTTCTAAATTTAGATTAGCAGAAAATATTTGGGTGAGCTAGTTACTTGGGTATAGCAATTCTGGTTAAGATTTGTGATGAGTACTCTAGATTTCTATTGATCGCGTTCCTCCCAGAAATGATCATTGTTTTCTCCTGTCTTTGTCTTTTGTGTCATTTGTCAAGAAGAAAAACCACAGGGTAGAATGGAGGCATAGGTCCTATAAGTTTGTTTTTGAGCGGGCCTCACAGACTGGTGAGTTCATGGTTCTCACCAGAAGGGCATCTGTTTAGATGAACTTTGCTGTGGGTCCCCTTTGTAAAAACCAGCTGAGTTTTTCCTTTCGTCTTGTTGTATGTCCTAAGAACTTGGCTTTGTGACGGGTGAGAATATTTTCTCTGGTCTCTGCCCTCTGGGAGTGTACATACTGGTGTGCATCTGGTGGCCAGTCAAGTGGACTGGGGTTCTGAGACGTGAAGTCACAAACGGCATTTTTTGTTGTTCAGCTGTGCCAGCTCTCAGGGGAGTTTGTCTTGAGGTGTCCCAGTCCATAAGGGCCTTTGTTGTCTCAACTTTTGTTGTCTTGTTAGTGGTGGAAAAGTCCCATTTCTGTATTGCCTGCCTGGTGTCACAGATTAGGTGATCTGTGACTGAAGGTGTCGAAAACCAAACTCTGTGGTTCGGGGCCAAAATATAACTCAAAGACGGAGTTTGGGATAAAGAGGAACGATAGCATTATTGCTTAGCTGGGCAAAGGAAGCTGCAACAGGCTTTGGCCTTCAAAACCAGCAAGCCCTCCTGGAGGAAGGGACTGGGGGGCTTTATAGGGAAATATAGGCTCTAGCTGGTTTTGACAGGAATTGTGCATGTACTACTAGCCTCCTTCATAATGTCTTTAGTGTGGTACCGGGTTCCTGAAACAAAAGGCTAAGAAGGGAGGAGGGGAGGTTTGCAGAAGAGAGGAAAAAGTTTTTAAAATCCGGCTTCACTGAAGCATTAGTGCAGCCATTTTGATTTTTGTTCAACTTTGTTTTTAAGCAGTTTCAGAGGCATCTCACATTCCCGAGACACTGTTTTCTCTACACAGTTCTTACCACCAGTGACAACAAGGGCCTTTACTTTCTTAGGCTAACTTTGGGAGTGAACTTTCTGGATCTTTTGAGGCCTGCATCTCTTGCACTCTCTTGTGGGACCCCTCTAGTGCCCTTGGTTGAGCCATCAAAAGGCTATTGGTTTGAGTCGCTATTGAGATTAATAAACTCGTCAATGACCAGGGGATGGATCTTTTTTTTTTTAAGATTATTTATTTATTTATTTGAGAGAGAGAGAGAGTGTGTGTGTGTGTATGTGAGAGAGAGAGAGAGAGAGAGAGAGAAAGGCAGAGGGAGAAGCAGACTCCCCACTGAGCAGGGAGACTGAGCTCAAGGCAGATGCTTAACCGACTGAACCACCCAGGCGCCCTGGAATGGATCTTTTGAATTGAGGACTCTTCTATATTTGAAAAAAAATTTTTTTTAAGAGAGTTCTCATTTTAAACAATCATTTTATTGGTATCTATGGAAAGACCAAATTAAAAAGTGGATACAAAGAAGTATAATGGCTATAGCCTTGGGGGCTCCCTTAACAAGGTGAAAGAGCAGAAATTAAACTTAGAACAAAATTAAAGTCCACATCCAATGTAAATTCCCCTTTTTAAAGTCTGGCCCCATCTCCTCAGCAAATTCCCTTAACTTCCAAAATTCCTCCACTTTGCCCAGAAAATTCCTTGCACTCTCTGCTGCCTGTTTTAGCTTCTCTTTTGCTACAAGATTTACACAGAGCACTCCAAACTAATCTCTAGGCCCAAGGTATGCATTCTTTCTCTGTTCCTTAAAGATGTAAATCTTACCATGTCTTTGAAATGTAAACACCATATGAGGTAATTAAAACTCTGCCCAGACTGGAAAAAAAAAAGGGGTGGGGGTGGGGAGGAAGAGGACTTTTTTAAAATACAAACTGCTGGGTGCCTGGGTGGCTCAGTCGTTAAGTGTCTGCCTTCAGCTCAGGTCATGATCCCAGGGTCCTGGCATTGAGTCCCACATCGGGGTCCCTGCTCAGCGGGAAGCCTGCTTCTCCCTCTCCCACTCCCCCTGCTTGTGTTCCCTCTCTCTCTGTGTCTCTCTCTGTCAAATAAATAAATAAAATCTTAAAAAAAACCCAAAAACAAACTGCTAAAAAGTCTCTCTAGCCCAGATTCTAGACCATAGCCTCCTGAAGATCTCCTGTCAAGAACAATACAAATACAAATACAATACAAATCTTAAAGTCTTCTCCACATGTAGTAAAAAGTTTTAGCCATCTGAGCTCATAAATTTAATTTTACTCCAACTAGTACTTATGAACTAGTGAGTTTTATATTGTTATATCTGATTCATGGCTGATATTGAAAATGAAAGCCATAAGATCTCTGTTTATCAATATGTTTATGTATGTCTTTTGTATGTACATTATAGATATGGTTTTTTTCTACCTCCAGATGGTGTTGCAAAATTAATTTGTGAAGAGCCTCATTTAATTGACTTAAAAATAAGTGCTTATAAATTAAGTATTTCTTTTTTTTTTTAAAGATTTCATTTATTTATTCATAAGAGACAGAGAGAGAGAGGCAGAGGGAGAAGCAGGCTCCCCGCTGAGCAGGGAGCCCAATGCTGGACTCTCCTGGGATCATGATCCGAGCCGAAGGCAGACGCTTAACCATCTGAACCACCCAGGCACCCATAAATTAAGTATTTCTAAAT